ATTGTCTGATGTTCTTTCTTCTAAGTGATCTAGTCTGTTGGGTATGCTTTCTACTGAGTTTTTTAATTTGATTTATTGAATCCTTCATTTGAAGGATTTCTGTTGTTGTTTTTTTTTTTTTTCCAGAGTCTCTCTCTCCTGAAGTAATCTTTTGCTACCTGTATTTGCTCTCTTATCTCTTTGTTGAAGAGATCAATTTTTTGCCTGTATTTGCTCATTTAGGTAATTCTATAATTCACAGATCATTTTAATTATGAACCTTCTGAACTCCTTTCTGACATTTCATCAACTTTGCAGTCCATGGGTTCTGTTATTATAGTATCCTGTTTGTTTGGGGCACTTTCCTCCCTTGTGTTTTCATGTCTATGTGTCTTCCTTTCTTGTAGTGTGGACCTGAGATATTACAGTTTCTTCCCTATATTCTTGTAATACTCATGTAGATTGTCTGTACCTCACCTTATGTTGGGCTTCCAGACCCTGCTGGTGTCCTTCAGTGTATGCTACTTCATCTAAGGTTGGTGGCGGCAATATCAGAAGTTAACTGTGTGGGGAAGGCTATGGCAATGACTGCCATGTCCAAGATGAAAGTGGGATAGGCTTAGGCTCCCAGGTGTGTGTGTGTGGGGGGGGGTTCGTGAACTCAGACCTATTTTGAACCTGGGTCCTGTGCAAGTCAGTGTGGACAGATCTGGGCTGGGCCTGATTCCAGCAGTAATTTGTTGGACTGAAGGGGCGGACCTGTGCCAGAAGCTAGGCTCTGGCAGGTGTCTGCCCTGCTGGTGGAGGGGTGGACCAGTTCCTGCTGTGAGCCTGGATCCTGCGTGAGCTGGTGTGGGCAGTCTCTGCTTTTTTCTTTTTTTAATCTATTCTTCTGTCAATAGATATTTGAGTTGTTTCCATCTCTTGGCTACTCTAAGTGATACTGGAATGAATACGAATGTGCAAATATATATTTGGGATCTTGTTTTGTATTCTTTTGGATATATATCCAGAAGAAGGATTCCTAGATTTATATGGTAATTCTATTTTAAATTTTTTGAGAAATCTCCATACTGTTTTCCATAATGGCTACACCATTTTACGTTCTTATAAACAGTGAACCAAGGTTTCAATTTCTCTGTATCCTTGTCAACACTTATTTTCTATTCCTTTAATGGTGGTCATCCTAATGGACATGAGGTGTGATACTGCAAAGTTTTGATTTGCATTTCACATGCATGGTAATCATTTGAATATCTTTGGAGAATTGTCCAAGAATCAAATCTTGTTCATTTTTCAATCGGGTTACCATTTTGTGTGTGTGTGTGTTTGTGTTATAGAAGTTCCTTATATTTTCTGGATATTAATCTTTTATGATATAAATTTGCAAATATTTTCTCCCATTCCATGTGTTGCTTTTTCATTCTTTGATGCAGAGAAGTATTTATATGTCATATAGTCCCATTTGTCTATTTTTGCTTTGGTCTGTTCTTTTGATTTTACATCCAAGAAATCACTGTCAAATCTCATGTCTTGAAGCTTTCCCTCTATGTTTTATTACAGGAGTTTTATAGTTCTTATAATTTTTATCAGAAGTTTTATAATTTCTTATAATTAGGTCTTTAATTGTTTTGGGTTAATATTTTGTATTTATATAAGGTAAGGGAGGAAAGGGTCCAACTTCATTCTTTTGAATGTGGACATCTAATTTCCCCAACACCATTTATTGAAGAAAACTGTCCTTTCCTCATTGGTCTTGGCACTCTTGTTGAAAATAATTTAATCATGTATTCAAGTGTTTATTTCAGAGGTTTTTATTAATAATTTTAAGGGTTATAATTCTGCCTACGGTCATACACTTTAGATAATTTTTATTTAAACTAAGAATAGACAAGCCCTTTAAGCTAACTAGAAGCAGCAGAATGCATAGATTTTTTTCAAGTAGAAATACCTTCAAGTTCATTTTCTTTAGGGTCCTTTTTTAGCCTATTTTATTTTCCCTATATATTGCCACCATAATTCCAAAGTTTTAGCTTCCTCAAATTTTATTTTGACTAGACACTAATATTTATTTTGATTGGTAAGTCTGTTTTGCAACCATAATTTTAATTTATATTGCATCTTCATGTATTTTATAGTCATATAAATATAGCCTACTTTTGATTTAGTAAAAAAAGAGAAAAAAGAAAACTGAATGCTAACCATGCTCTAGGTACTATGCTAGGTGTTAAGAATTACAGAAAACTCGATTTTATATTATTGTGTTGCTTATGGTACCACTTTTCTCTAGCCCAAGAATGCCTTAATAGAAACTGAACCAAATACCTATTTTAGTGTGTTTGAAATATGAAAGAAAACCAATGTTTGGAGACTTACTAAATGAGAACGAGAAAATGACAGAAGATAAAAGTAGAGAAGTAGGCAGGGATCAGCTTATGATATCATTTTAGATTTTCTCTTAAATTCACTGGTAAGCTATTTAAAGTTTTAAATAGAAAAAAATCTACACTGAATTTTAAAAATCTGACATAGAGTTGCAAAATAAATATAATATGAAATGTTATTTTTGTAAAAATTCCTAGTGGTTGATAAACCTCTTTGGCAATCTGATTTGTTAAACTGAAAAACTAAAAGCAAATTCATAACATATTTTTCCTACAATTCTCACAATGAAAAGTGGCAAAATAGCAGTAGTATCACCAACTTATACATCCTCACCACCCAAATTTTGTTCTTTAATTCTAATAGCATCTTGAAGGAATCAGGGCTCCTTGAAGTTCAGCTGATGCCATGTCTTAAAGGAGAAAAAAATTAAGGATGGGCCTGGAATATCTTACTGTAATCAGAAAGCAAGTCAAAACAAAAACAAGGTACTAGCTTGAAGTGGTCAAGGTGTAACAATTAGAGCATTAATAATAATTACAGTTAAATAAACTATGAAAGTATTTTGAAATGCTATGAGTTCATAATGTACTCAAGAATAGATGAAGTACTGGGGCTGGGGTTGTGGCTCAGTGGTAGAACACTTGCCTAACATGCATGAGGCACTGGGTTCAATCCTCAGTACTACATAAATATAAACTAAAGATATTGTGTCCATTTAAAACTAAAAAATAAATATAAAAAAAAGAATAGATGAAATATTGAATATAGACAGAATATTTGTTATGTGAAAAAAGTAAACGTAGATTATGTTTAATTTTTTATTTTTTTCAGTGAATACTGGCATGGTAATATAACTGCATAATCTATGTATGTGTCTCTGTGTAATGTATACACAGATATTTGTTTTATCTATGTAAGTAATTATTGAGAACTATAAGTTTAATAGCCTAGACAAAGTAGATCCAAAAATAAAAAGATCAGTTAGCAGTGGTGTCAGCAGGTAGAAAGAAAAGATAATAATATGTTGAAGAATAATGAGTTACTCAGGTAATGTAAAAAGAGGGAGTTAACTGCTCAGACTTGATTCTTTACATTTTTGAAGAAAAAAAAATCTCTAAGCGGACCTACTGTTCCAGTTATAAAATAATGCACATAAAAAAGTTTATACTAACATTTAAAGAAAATATATCCTAATGACAACAGAATTTTGGTCAGAAGAAAAAAAAGGATAAATTATATCTGTGGGAGACATTGGGTTTAAATTTATATGAAAGGAGTAAACTTAAGAAGGTTTGTTGATATAATATATGAGTTTAAATTTAAAAAGAAAACCAGCAGCTTGAATTTATATTACTTTGAGAAAAGCAAACAATTCCATTCTCTCACCAAAAATCAGCTGACAATGCAGATTCCATAATCTTCGTCTGTGACAAGTTACGTTAAACTGAAAGCCCAAAAGGCACGCAAAGTAAGTTCTAGTCTTAGAAGATATCAAATAAGTAGGAAAAAATATAGAAATACTGAGGCAGGAGGATCTCATGATTCAAAGAGCTTCAGCAACTTAGCGAGATCCTGTTTCAAAATAAAATATACAAAGGGATGGGGATGAGCTCAGTGAGTTAAATAATCCTGGGTTCAATCCCTGGTATATATATAAAAAAATCAGAATAATATTGATACCCAGGACCTCAAGAAAAGAGAATATTTTGTGAAAATTTGAATTGAAGATTATGTGAAAATTTCAATTTCAGGGTCTAAATAGTTTTATTCGCTCTACCAGTGTTCATTTACTTATATTATCTATGGATGCATTTGCACTACAACAACAGAGTTGAATAGCTGTAACAGATTACATGGCCAGTAAAGGTTAAAACATTTGCTGTTTGGTTCTTTCCAGAAGTTTGCCAACCTCTGCTCTGGATGAGCACTGTCAGAACTTTTGCAGTGGTAGAACTGGTCTATACTAGTGCTGTTCAATTCAGATGTCGCAAGCCATATGTGGCTACTTGAACATTAAAGATATGGTTAACAGTGCTTTAAAAAAATATATATAGAAATAATTTAAAAAATGAATTTAAAAACTATAGTATTACATTTTATAATATATTTAAATAAGCATAGGTTTAGAAATAATCCTAGTTGAATATTTCTACTATAAGATTTGAGGCATTCCAAAAATTTAGCCACTTAAAAATTATTTTGAAGTTTAATTCTGGTTCTGTAAAGGGATTAAGTTATAATTAACAAGTGTTTTAAAAAATCACTTTAAAAATATAGTTTTCAAAAAAATTTTAAAGTGTGACCCCTAAATTTTTAACAACCATTCTATTTACACATTTATTCCAGAGGGGAAGTGCCTATATTTATGAATAGGTGTAGATATAGAGATATACAGATACAGATGAATAGATCTGAATAACAAATATATCCCTCAACTGCAGGAAATGTTTTAATTTTTTGAACAAAAAATTATATAACAAAATTTTAATATACACAAAGACTATGATCAATCTTACAGAATTTTCTGTGCTTTATTAAATACCAAGAAGTATAATTATCTTAATCCTTAGTTCAATCAGCAGAAAATAATATTCGCATGTCAGGATATTGAAACACATACATAATAGAATACTTACATTGCTGAATCTCTTTCTTGAGACAAGGCTGCTTCATGTGAAGCTGAAATAGCAGGTGGGGATCTAGGATATAATCCATAACCTTCACTTGGAGTAATTATCTGTTTACCCAGAATTCTTCAAAATGAAAACATATAGACCATTAAACACCTTCACTTGGCATACATACAAAAACTAGTCATTTCTGGAACAAATCTGATGGCTCTACATAGAAGTCCATTACATATTAGTTTGACATTGATTTAATTCTTTGGGGGGCGGGTACTGGGGACTGAACTCGGGAGCATTCAACCACTAAGCCTCATCCCCAGTCCTATTTTGTATTTTATTTAGAGACAGGGTCTCACTGAGTTGCTTAACACTTCACTTTTGCTGAGACTGGCTTTGAACTTGTGACCCTCCTGCCTCTGCCTCTCAAGCTGCTGGGATAATAGGCGTGTGCCACCGCACCTGGCTCAAGAATAATTCTTCAGATAAAATGTGAATCCTTACCACAGGTATATCTCTCTCTTCAACAAAATGGGGATAGAAAAGATAAAGCAATAGCCTGGGAGTTTTTGAAAATCCTAAGGAAAAAATAAATACACAAAAGGGAAAAAAACAGGAAAAAAATAAACCCAAGGAAACTGAGCAAACTTTTGGAATTTGCCCTTAATCCTCTATAATAATCTGCATAAACAAATATATTTTCTGACCATATTGCTCAAAAGTAGAGTTCTTTAGAAACGTCTGATACACAGATCTCAGCTACTGGTATAGAAATAGTTTCTCTCAACCAGGATAGCATATTGGTAGTTATGGAAACTTCCACCAACTTGAGTATTCATTCTCTCAATTGAGCCTTTACACCACATGGCCTTGTTCACATTCATTAAAATAATATCAAATAGATATTTCAGAATATAAGCTTTTTTAGAAGTGCACTTTTTAATTTTAGTTTTAGCCATGAATACAAGACAATGGTAGCCTTCAATACCTGAGGTGAGGAAAGCTAGATGTCCACTGTTGGCACTCTTCTTGTAGACTCTTGGTATACACACTTGACTTTTGCTCATATAAGAGCTCATCAATGGCTATGAACATGGCCTGGACTTTTTCAGTGGCATTTTTATCAAGTTCCTAGAAGAAAATACCCCCCAAAATATTTAGGTGACCTTCAACCTCTGTTAACAATGTAAAGACTGAAAGCAATCAGATTTTGTTTTGTTTAAAATATTTAATCCATTTGAAATATTACTGTGTTTACATAAAAGAAAAGTAGTTATGGAATTTTCAGAACTCATGTAATTTTCAGAGCTCATGGAATTTTTAGATGTCTTTTCTATTCCTGTTTAAAGAAAATTTACAGAAATGTTTTTTAAAAAGTAACAATTTCTTCTTCATATAAATACTATTTATTGTAAACATTTTAAAAGTACAGAAAAGTATAAAGAAAAACTTAAAATTTTCTAATGAAGCAGACCAAGTACCCCCACCCAAAAGACTCTTGCCATAATTAAGCTTCTCCTCTGTCAGATCAGCAGGATGTCTACAAAGGTTATTGTGGTTGAAATTCTTTCTTGTAAATGCCAGGTTTGCACACAAAAGGTGTAACAGAATTAGTCTGTAAGCTTGTTGTACAAAATATATTACCTGTGTTTTCTTGGTAAAAACTTATGTGACCTGTGTCTGTCCTTAGAACTTAAGAAATTATTTTATGTAAACTCCTCCAGCATGTAAACTTCCAAGGCCCCACCCTCCACAATGGGTATAAAGTTCAAAGAATTTCCAAAATCTTAGTTCAGAGAATTTTTTAAAAAATATTTTTAGTTGTAGACAAACACAAAGCCTTTATTTTATTTATTTATTTTATGAGGTGCTAAGGATCGAACCCAGTGCCTCACACGTGCTAGGCAAGTGCTCTACCACTGAGCCACAACCCCCGTTCCCCAGAGAATGTTTTAGGCTATGCAATAGCCTCTCTGGACCCTGCAATCAATAAACCTGCTTCCTGAAAATTCCTCAGGTATACAGGTTCTTCTGTCTTGTTTCACTACAATTCCACAAAAGTTAATGATTATTATTTTTATTATTATGTTGTTATTATTATTGAGATGTCTCCCCAAACTCCTGGGCTCAGGCAATCTTCCTGCCTCAGCTTCCTGAGTAGCTGGCACTACCAGTGTGTGCCACCATCCCTGGCTTTGATGACTGCTAATTTTAGTATAGTTGCTTGGTTCTAGTATTTTTTAGAACAAAAAATCTGTATATATTACTTAGTATTCTGCATCTTTCACTTGACAATTTATGTTATACATTTGAGCCCTGTAACCTGTCAGAGGAGCCAGGCACTGTAGCACAGGCCTGTAATCCCAGCAATTTGGAAGGCTAGGGCAGGAGGATCACAAGTTCAAGGCCAGCCTCAGCAACATAGCAAGGCCCTCAGAAATATAGTGAGATCCTATCTCAAAATAAAAAAAGGACTAGGATATGGCTCAGAGGTAAAGTGTCCTGGGTTTAATCCCCAGTAAAAACCCACCCCACCCCCACCAAAAAAAGAGAACAGTCAGAGGGAAGGCTATAAAATGTGGAACTAATCATGTTATCAGATCTTTAAATTTCCTGCTTACCTTTACTGCAGCTATATTTATTATGTGCCCTTTTACATTTCACTGGAAGAAAAGTTACACTTTCTTCTAAAAGGATAAAATGAGAACTATGTATTTTCACTGTAAAAATTAAAATCAGGGGCTGGGATTGTGGTTCAGTAGTAGAGTGCCCATCTTGCACGTGTGAGGCACTGGGTTCAATCCTCAGTACCACATAAAAATAAGTAAGTAAATGTATTGTGTCCATCTACAACTAAACAAATATTTTGAAAAAGAGAATTAAAATAAGTCTCTTCTCAGTAGAAATATATTTGGGAATCATTTAAAAAAAAAAAAATCTGGCCAGCACAAGTCTGTAACCCCAGTGGTCAGGAGGCTGAGGCAGGAGGATCACAAGATTTGTCTGTTTTACTGACAATTTTTCAGAGAACTAACTTTTGACTACATGTTAGTTTTCTCTATTTTTTATGTCATTAATTTCCAGTTAAATCAATATTTCCTTCTTTCTGCTTGCTTTAGATTTAGTTTGTCCATTTTTAGTTTCTTAAGGTGGAAACTTATGGACTTCAGATTCTCTTTTTTCTGTAAGCATTTAGAACCATTAATTTGTTTCTTTTTAAATTTTTTTTATTTGTTCTTTTTAGATAGACATGACACTCCATTAATTTATTTCTAAGCACCACCATAAATTTTGATATTTTGCTTTTTCACTTTCATTTAGTAAAAAATATTTTTTTAGTTTTCCCTTGCAGATATCCCTTCCAAACAGCATTTGGGGATATCCCACATTTCTGCTTTTATTTCCAACTTAATTCCATTGGTATTGGAGAACATACTTTAAATCCTTTTAGATTTACAACACTTTTTTTAAAATGTGTTTGAAGAGTATATAGAGTACATATTCTGCTGTCATTTAGGTCAAGTTGGTTCATAGTGCTATTTATCTCCTCAGTAATCTTTGCTAATCTTTTGTCTAGTTTATTTTTTAAGTATTAAGAGTAGGGTATTGAGTTTCTAGCCATAATTGTGCTTATTTCTCCTTGGAATTCTGTTCATTTATGCTTCGTGAACTTTAAGTTATTGAGTATGTATAATTTATAATTGCTGTATTTTACTAATGACTGAAACCTTTTATCATTACAAAATATTCCTTGTTTCTGGTACTTTTTCTTGTCTTAAAGTTTATCTTCTCTGAGTTCTAATTCAAGCAGTGCTTACTTTTTTTTATTTTTAAGTTACTGAGGATTGATTCCAGTGGTGCTTTACTACTGAGCTATAACCCATCCTTTTTTTAAAAAATATTTTTTTAGTTGTAGATGGACACAGTACCTCTATTTTATTTATATATTTTTATGTGATGCTGAGGATTGAACCCAGAGCCTTATACAAGCTAGGCAAGCACTCTACCACTGAGCCACAACCCCAGCCCCCAACCCATCCCTTTTTAAATTTTGAGACAAGGTCTTATTAAGTTGCCCAGGCTGGTCTTGAACTTGAAATCCTGTAAAGCTCCTATCTCAGACTCCTGAGTAGCTGAGATTAGAAGTAGGCAACTCCATGCATGACTGCCCCAGCTTTTAATTTCTGGGTTCCTTCTATCTTCTTCTGCACTAGCATGCATCTTATTTCCCAGATCCTTTTAATAAACTTCTAGATAATGTGCCAATCCATTGTCTGTAACCTCAGCCTGTCTGAGCCACTGTTCTTCCCAAGTTTACAACTGTTGTTGACAATGCTATTAAGCACACAGTTGTCTAAGCTTTACTTTAGATCCTTCTCTGGCAGTAAAACTGCTAGCTTTCATAGCTTGTCTCCCTAGAGAAACAGACTCTCATTGTTCTTAACCCAAGCCCTATTGATTTCTATAAATAATTGTTTATTTTTTAGTTGTATACTTTTGGTAAACTTTCAAAGTCCTTAAATAGCTGCATTCACCACCTTAATCTATTTTTATTATTGTCTTTGGGGGGGGGGAGAGGATTTGTTAAAACTACTCACTCTGATATTATAAGTTCCCCCTCATAATTTTCTCTTATTATATTGTCTTCATCAGGTTTTAGCATCAAGATTATGCTGACCTCTTAAAATGAGTTGAGAAGTGTTCCTTCTATTTTTTGGAAAAAGTTTGTGCCGTTGTTATTTCTACTACAAATGGATAGAATTCAACTGGGTCTAAAGCTTTCTCTGTGTGAGAGTTGTTTAATCTAATTTCCTTAGTATTTTTATAACAACTCACAATTGTAATAACCTTAAAAAAGGAAATTTGTATTATAGTCAACCATCCTTTGAGGTGTAATTACTTCTATAAGCTCCATCTTTATACATCTTATATGCATCATATATACATATCTTATATGTCAATATATATTAAATATAAGCATTTTTTTGCCTCAGTCAGTATCTTTTAAAGAAATCAGATAAAAATAAAGACTTTGACATTTACCCATTTATTTACAATTTCTGGCACTCTTCTCTCCCTCCCTGGCAGATTCCAGCTGCTTCTTTTGCTCTGAACTCTGGTATCTGCTCCTCAGCACAATGGGAACATCATTGCTTTGCTTGAACTCTGACTCACTATTGCATAGTCAGAAAACTCCCCAGGCAGGGAGCCAAGGAAAATAAGAGGTCAAGGGAGTAGGAGGATGGCCTGCTAGGCAATATGAGACTTAGAGGGCTCAGAGGCCCTGAACATGTTAAAGAGTATTTCAAGTTACTTTGGCAGTGAAGCAAATTACTCCAAAACTCAACAGCAAAAATCACTTATTATCTCTCCAGGTTTATATGGGTCAGGAATTTGTGTAGATCTCAATAGGAATGGCTTATCTCTGCTCTGTATCATCTATGGCCTCAGTCAAAAGACTCAAAGGCTGGGAGCTAAAATCATCTGAAGGCTCATTCACTAATACAGTGGCAACTGAGGCTGGCTTATAACTGCAGACTTTAATTCCTTTCCATAGTGCTTTTTCATGTCTGTAACTGAACTTTCTTACAAATGGTGGTTAAATTCTGAGATCTACCACTCAAAGACAGAGACAGAGACAGAAATAGGCAAGCAGAAACTGCAGTGTCTTCTAACCTAAAAAGTCAAGTAGCATCACTTTCACTTTGTTCTAATGACTGAGGCAGTTAAAAGGGACATCCAGGTTCCAGGAGAAAGAACATGGCTTTTGAAAATATAATCTACCCACAATGGGAATAAGATGTTGCAGGATGAGCACTACTGAAAATCAAGATGTCCCTTTGGGAGGGCAATCAGCTTGTAATGTTGAAATTAGAATGGAGAGAGGAAGGCTATCGCATGGGGAGTAGGTGGAGTAAGAGAGGCCAAGGGCAAAAAAGGTACCCCAAAGGGGGTCAAACCAGTATGAGTGTCTGAGTCCAAGCCGGCTGAGAAAATCCAAATGGTAAAAGGATACAGGGGGGAGTGACCCAGTGCAGGTGAAAAGGGCACATGCAGAGTGTAGGAGACAGTGGCAATAGTGGGAAACTGGTTACATTCAGGGAAATTAATCAAATAGATAAACGTATTAA